AGAAGGTTCTCTTTTCTCTGCATCCTCGCCAACACTTGTCATTTGTTGATTTGTTGATGATAGCCATTCTGACAGGTATCAGATGGTACCGCATTGTCGTTTTGATTTGCATCTCTCAGATGGTTAGTGACTTTGACCATGTTTTCATATGTCTCTTGGTCTCTGTATGTCCTCTTTGGAGAAGCGTCTATTTAGGTCTAGAAATAATCCTTTGCAGCTGCATAGCACTGACTGGTCCTTCACGCGGGAGCCTTGTCTGAGTGCTGGACACACCTGGCGGGTTCGATTCTCACAGGCACCCTGTGAGGTAGACCCTGTGGTCCTCTTTTCACCAGTGAGGACACGGGTTCAGAAGGTGGAGCATTTGTGCAAGGGCACTGGCTGGTCAGGGACAAGGCCAGGAGAGGGGAGGGCAGCCTCCCCCCATACAGCCTCTTAGCCACATGGCGCAGGGAGGAAGAGCACTTCTGAGGCGCAGCCAGAGCCCTGGAGGCCGCCTTTTGAACTGTGTGCTGGAAGGAACCCTCCCCCTCTCCGGCCGGGGTGCGCAACGACTCCCCAGTGACCTCGAGAGTGGGCGTTTGTGAACGGGCACTAACCTCAGCTGTCACTTCACTCTGCTCTGAACAGATGAGAACCCCAAGCAGCACATCCCCCTGGAGGAGTACGTGGCGAACCTGAGGAGCATGGTGCAGTACCTGAGGTCCGTGGACGTCCCCGAGGGCAGGATCGTGCTCATCACGCCACCCCCGCTCTGCGAGGCCGCGTGGGAGAAGGAGTGCCTGGCGCAAGGTGACCGCACCTGGGTGGGCCTGGAGACCTAGAGGGATGGGGCTCCAGCCTGCGGCGCGGCTCTCAGGGGCTGCACATCCGCATGGTCTGTGTGCAGTCAGGTGACAGGAGCACAGCTCGCGTGGCCACACCCGAGAACCTCTGGCGTAGGAGTCGGAGTCTTGCTTGGGCCGCTGGCCTGGCATTTGCTGCCTTGTCATTTCCCAACTGCCAAGGCGCCCGCAGCCATGAGCTCTGTGCCGACGGCCGAGCGCATCCCAGAACAGACTGCGTTCTGCCGTGTGGTGCCGAGGCCGAGCGTCTCTGTGCCTTGGACACGGGGTCACATTGGGGTGTTTTCCTGACTTCCCAGCAGGTAAGACAGTTAAGGTCCCTCCCAACACTTGCCTTCTCTGCTTGAGAGTCTACAGTGATTTCCCCACTGTTTTGCAGTAGCTTCTTAGTACATGTACAAATTCAGGTCTCAGCACAGCACTCCTCTCCAGCGTGCCGCTGACCAGCCTCCAGCCCGGCCACCCTGGCCCTTCCTGCCGCGGGGCCTCTGCTCCGGTCAGGAGCCCCTGGGGCCACGAGGCTCCTCCTCCTCTGCTGGGAGTCGCCTGCGAGGCTGTCCTTGTCTTATTCTCGGCCCCCAGGCTGGTCCAAGTCTGGCCCCTGAGTCTGTGCCTGTTTATTGAACTGAGAAACCATCCAGGCCAGAACCTGCCCAAGGACCAGTGCTGGAGTTTATCAGCTGCCACCTTTTCTCCAAAGGTTGCAAGTTAAATCGCCTGAACGTGGTGGTTGGTGAATACGCCAGCGCCTGCTTACAGGTGGCCCGAGACTGTGGGACTGACGTGCTCGACCTGTGGACCCTGATGCAGAAGGACGGTCAGGTAGGTGGCTTGCTCGGTCCTTTTGGGGCGAGTAGGACCACACAGGCGTGACTCAGCAGTGCCTGGCTCTGAGTGGGTGTGATTCAGCCAGAGCCCAGCCAGAGCTCTGAGTTGCTCTGAGCCCGTATGTCCTTATTTCTTCCCGACTGCGCCAGAGTCGGCTCCTGCTCGAACCCAGCCTGGGGCTGGACCTTCTTGAACACCGGGTCTTAGACGGAGAAGCCATGGGAAGTTATGGGTGTGTAAGGACGAGTCTGGATTGTAGGAGCCAGTGGCCATAAGTCATCAGACAAAACAGCTCTTCACAGCCAAGCCCATACAGGCAGCCGGCCCCGGCTGGTGAATCCATCTCCTTCCCACAGGGTAGCATTCATCTCTGCACCCATAGCTGTTGTCCGAGAGCCGCGCGCTGCCTAGACCGATAGCTTCACACAGCAGCAGTGCCTGAGCTCTCCCTTAGCGCCACAGCCTCAGCAGCTCTGCCCCCTGCCCAGCACCCTGGCTGGTCCCCGGCCTCACATAGGAACTGCCCCGAGCTTCGGAACTCCCTCTCACAGCAGCAGCCTCACATCCTCGCCTCGGCAGCACACTCGCTGGTCAGTGACATGGATCACACTGCTTAGACACAGGCCTCGTGCCAGTACTAACACCATATTTTGAGCCACAGAAGGGCACAGAGTACCATGTCCTGGCACTGCTATGGTATCTTAGCCTAGGCTCAGGGTGGCCTTGGCCGGCCCGGCATACTAACAAGGCCGTCCACACTCTGAGGGGCCGTGTCTGTCTGGTGACTTGAGTACGGTGGCCACAACAGGGAAGACAGTTGAGGCTCTGGGACAGCGTGCGGTCAGCAGGAGCCCCGGTCACGGTCAGGGTGAGCACAGAGGGAAACCAGCGAGCAGGAGACGGCTCCCATTTAAGTACGGCCAGGCCACGTCCTTCTCTACATGGCATGGAGTTAGAACACGTCACCAGGCACACGATGTATTTACGTAGACTGTGCTATCAGCTACAATTTGTATTTTGAGATATGGAGTTCTAGTTATTTTATTTTTAAGTCCAGAAAGCCCATTTATCCATATACAAGGTAAAAACCTGGTCCCGGCAGAATGGTACAGCCACTCCGGACGACAGTGTCCATAGAGTGAACCGTACTTACAGGGGACCCAGCAGTCCTGCTCCTGGTGTTCACACAGCGGACACTTGTTTCCTGGAGACTGGCCCCGAGCAGCAGCCAGCTTCTGGTTGGGAAAGCAGTGCTGCTGGAGAAGGTGCTCTGACAGTCCTTTAGATGAAATGCTGAGAGCCTAGAACTGAGAGGGTCGTCCAGAGAGGCCACCTGATTGGGAACAGCAGAGACTAGAAAACGAAGGCTCAGGAAGGCTCGGCCCAGTGGAGACAGGGTCTAATGGTCAGTGCTGCCGAGAACAGAGCGTGGGGGACTGACCCCAGTGTTCCAGCATCACTGTTCTAGTTCTTTCCTCCTAATAACTTGCCTGTCAACTTAACACTTAGACTGAGAGGCAAAAGTGCCCCTGGGCCTTCTCACCCCGTGTTCGTCAATCAGCCTCTCTGAGCTGGTGGCCGGGAGGATGGCTCAGGTCTTCATGGTGTGAGGCTGTGGGAGCTCGATCTGTAATTGCCTATCATCTGCAAAGGGCCTGTGGTCCCTTGAGCCTGTGCGCGGAGCCTGGCGGTGCCACTGCAGTCCCCGGAGAAACTAGCGCACACCTGTAACGGCCCCTCTCCCCTCACAGGACTTCTCACCCTACTTGTCAGATGGACTGCACTTATCACCAAAGGGAAACGAGTTCCTCTTCTCCCACCTCTGGCCTCTGATCGAGAAGAGAGTGTCTTCCCTGCCGCTGCTGCTCCCTTACTGGCGAGACGTGGCCGAAGCGCGACCAGAGCTCAGTCTCCTCGGAGACGGGGACCATTAGGCGCGGAGCACGAGGCTGGTAGGGACACGACGCCACCCTGCACCACGCCCTCTGGTCAGAGTTGTGTCTGCTCAGGCCTAAACCTTTGCTCATGACCCTGGACCGAAACCCTGACGTTTGTACCAGGATGAATAAACGCACTGTGCCTTCCCGGGAAGCGCTGCACCGAGTATGTTCTGATATTTAATATTATTGATCGATGCAGGTGCCACCAGCACCACCACTACATGCACCCTGAGCAGCTGGGGGAGTCTATAAGCGGGAAAAAGGGTAAAAGACAGTTTTATTTTTTTTAAAGTTGATTTTATAAAAAATGGTTTTCTTACATTCAGCTGGGAACTGCTTCACTCTCACACATACACCCACTCACCTTACATCAGAGTCCAAAAGTGTAAATATGAGAGTATTGTGACTAGTTAAAAGACAGCAAATACCACAAGGTACAAGTTCAAGTATTAGTGTAACAGGTATCTGTGTAACAAACATCCTTAGGAAAAAAGACACCATTTGTCACAGGTTTGGTTAATTGCCCTCAAAGTTTGTAAGTTACTCACTAAACATGTTGGCTGATGAGCACAGTTCAGGACTTACAGGAGAGAAGCTTTTAACTCTAAGGAAGTCAGAACTCCCCGGTGACTTCTCCTTCACACAGCGAGCGCACACCGTCCGGAGTCCTGAGCAGGACGCAATGCGAACAGCCACGTGCAGGGCAGCACCACGGTGTCGGAGTCCCTCCCAGGGGCTGTCACCCCGCGGCCAGGCCGATGCTGGAGGAGGGCTCCTCATGCTGAGGGGCAGACAGGCCCCACCTCGGCCGGGCCGGCCCCCAGTCAGTGCGGAGGAGCAGCCCGAGCCGGCCCGGGAAGCAGGCCTGGACAGCAGGACCGACCACCCAGTGTGACCGGGCGGAGCCGTCCCGGACTCCGAGGCCACAGCACAGCTCTGCAGAGTGAACAGGGCAGCGGACCGGCTCCAAATCTCACCGAGGCCACCTCCAAAAGGAGACTGTCACCTCCAGGAAGACAAGGTCCCCGCATTCAGCAATGCCAACAGGAGCCCAGTCCTGCTTCCCGATGCCAGGCCGCCGGGCCCAGGTGAGGATGATGCAGCAGCCCCTCAGCACGTCCCAGGCACCCAGGGTCCTGATGGCTCAAGCTGTGAGACATCTGAGAGGAGCCTCCCAGACTGCACCCCAACTCCACCAGCATCGACGCTGGCCCTCAGCAGGCCCTCAAGTTCCCCCAGATCAAACGCAACCTCGCCTATGGAGACAACAGTGACCCTCCCTAGAGGCATGGCCACTCCCTGCACCCGAGCTCTGGCTCAAGATCTCCTCTGGCTCCTCAGCCAGAAGGGGCCGCTGCCACGAGGGCCACTGGTTCTTGGAAAAGCGGCCGGAAGGCTGGTGGTGCCAGATGGACACGGAGACCGAGAGAACTCTGAAGGCGCCTAGGGACGCTCAGTGCTGTGGGCGTGCCAGCTGCTGCCGTCCCAGAAGCGCCAACAGCGTTAGGTCCTGGAACACATTGTAAAACAGAAAAACTGCCCAGCAAATGGGGGTCTCACACAGGGGGCAGGATTCTGTAATGCAACTAGCCCTACTTCGGGCTCTCGCTGTAAACAAGATTATTTAAACTGCAGAAAGTACTAACCTTAGAATTCTGAAGAAACAGTAACCCAAATCACTCCTGAATTGGGGTGTGTATTCTCCCTGCTGAAGGCGTGGGGGAGTACCGGGAACCAGAACCCACACTGTGGAGATAGTACACAGCTCAGTTTTATCTTATCTTTACTTGAGGGCAGAAAAATAAATTATTCTGTGTTCCAGTTATCCTCACGAGTAATGCTAACTGCCTCATCTTCATGACACTGTATGAAAAAGAAAATCATTCTCTCCCTAATCAGTGCTGTCATCGATATAAAGGTTACTTTACAAAAACGTAAATACTTATGCCCTAATCCAGCTGTATTTTCTGCTTCTGCACCACAGGTTGAAGGATATTTTAAACAAACACTAAAACCTGAAAGCCTCAAAATAAGCTAGATTCACCTTACCTGTCCACACAGAAAGGCCCAACCACACGAGTACATATGCCAAGAAGTCCAGACGCGTGACCAGCACCTGCTGCAGTCACTGCCTGGTTTCTCCCAGATCTTCACAAAACCGGCGAGTGATTCAGGTCAAACGTACAGAGCGCTGCGCACAGGGCAGAGCGCGGCCCCTCCCCCGCTAGCACTCGGTCTCTTTGCTGTCGACGCGGTTCTGCCGCTGCAGCTTGAAGGATGAGGCCTTCTCGCTCCTCGTGACCGGGTGGCCCGTGAGGTCCTCAAACGACTTGGCGGCTGTGCTGCTGTTCGGGAAGGGGTCCTTCTCGAAGCCGTCCTCGTCCATGTGCGAGTCCATGCTCGGGTCCTCCTGGATGGTGTCCATGCGCTGGTGGTCCAGTTTCGGGGCCACAGGCACCATCGGCACCACAGGGGGGGGCTGCAGGGGCTGCAGGCGGCCTGGGGTCTGCGGCCCCGGAAAGGGCTTGATGATGCGGACCGAGGCAGAGTCCATGCTGCTGAGCATTTCCACGTTCTGGAAAGACACGCGATTGAGAGATGAACAGCAGGTCTGCCAGCTCCAGCTCGCCCACCCAGCCTCACACGGTTGCTGCCACGACCCCACACGCTAAGGAAAACTCTCAACTCAGAAAGGCAGCTTGCAAGTGGCTGCCCGCTGACCATGTGAAGACCCAAAAGGAAACTTCTAACAACTCTCAAGTTCAGGTCTCAAGACGAAAACAATCGCAAAACAGTCACTGAGTTGGTGCTGAGCAGCTGAGTCACTCGGGCTGTGGGGAGGCGCCAGCAGCACTGCTCCCCTTACATCCCCACCCATCGTCCTTACTGTGGGCACAGGACTTAACCAACCCCACCTCGGCCTTTCCCGCCGCAGCAGGACCTCCAGCAGCCACAGGGGGCGCAGCCGGGTGGCCGACGGAGGTCTCCCCGTGCCACTGAGAGCCTTTTGTCGTGCACATACTCACACTGGGGTGAAACAGGGACAGGGACTCATACTGCTTATCCAGCTTCTTATCCTAGAAAGAAGAGAACGGGACAAAGGTCATTCCCACAAACAAGTCACTTCAGTGCTCATTCCTCAGAGCAGCGGTTCTCAACCTGTGGGTCGCGACCCCTTTGGCGGTCGAACGACCTTTTCACAGGGGTCGCCTCAGACCATCCTGCATATCAGATATTTACATGACGATTCATCACAGTAGCAACATGACAGTTATGAAGTAGCAACGAAAATAATTTTATGGTTGGGTCACATGAGGAACTGTATTTAAAGGGCCAGAAGATTGAGAACCACTGCCTTAGAGAACCTCCTAATACTGAGGGAAGCACTTAGGACCTGAGCTGTAGAAAGTGGTAGCAGGTCCGACGAATGAGAGTGGGTGTCGCCCGTAAACCTGCGGAGCCTCTGCGCTCGCAGGAACCTGTTCCTCTTGGTGTGAAGTAAGACCGGTTCCAGTGCTGTGCTTCTGGGCATTTCCCACCGGGGGCAGGAGGACAGGCGTCTGCCCGTGTGTCCAGGCCCTGCCTGTGCCTGGGCAGAGCCGGCCCCGGCGACGCTGGTGGGAGGCTGAGGGGCTGCGCCTGTGCTCTCGTGGCTCTGGCCTCACACTGCCCAGCCCGCCACGGCCTTGATATTCTTCCCAGCTGTTCCCAGAGTTCCTGTGACCCAAACTTGTGAAGGAACTGGGTCTCTGACCTGCATCATGCTTCAGAAGGCTGTACACATGGTTCCATCCACTGCCCAGGACCCTGCCTGTGGCTGGCATCGCATGCCAATGGGCACCAGGCAGGAGGCTGGGCCCTGGAATCTAGGCCTGGCTCCTAGTTCAGCTGCCCTGAGCGGGTCTGTGGTCAGAAACAAGCCAGCACCCTCCCTCCCGCGGCAGCTTTGCTCAGAACAAGAATCGGGCCTCACGGAGGGTCCACGGGTGTAACTCTCACTGCACAGTAAACAGCACGAGAGCTACTAGCTGTGCTGAGGCTTCCCAGGCTCCCCTGGGGGCAGCACAAGTGGAGCCTCGGCCTGCCCATCGTGCAGGAGACAAACCCTCGCTTTCACAGGGAAGCAAGGAACAATCTGGAGTTCCTCAGACAAAGCCCCATTCGACCTGCTGGCTGTCACTCATTTTGAACGAGAATAAACAGACTGCTCCTGCTCGGTATCTGAAGGGTTTAAACACCCACATGGCGATGCCAAGGACCTGAGGGCACAGGGCACCATCTTGGGATGCGGGTGCTTGCTGTTTGCTCTGTGACAACAAAGCCTGCAAATACTTTTGTTGAGACACTTCACTCATCTGAGGTCCTAGGCAAATCCAGCTCACCAGTACCCTGTGGCCCTGGCCAGTTTGCTCAGTAGATAGGGTGTCGGCCTGTGGATGGAAGGGTCTGGGGTTCAATTTCGGTCAAAGGCACGTAGCTGGGTTGCAGGCTCGATCCCCGGCCCTGGTCAGGGCCCGTGCGGGAGGCAACCAATCGGTGTGTCTCTCTCACATCAATGTTTCTCTCTCTGTCTCTCCTCCCTTCCACTCTATTAAAAAAAAAAAAAAAATCAACGGAAAAATACCCTCTGGTGAGGATAACAAAAAAATAAAAATAAACCAACAGTTTCCTGTGCTCAGAAGTATAAAATTCCTCAGAAATTCTACACAAGAATGAAACATTTACATACAAAAAGTAAGATTCTTTTAAGGCCTATTAGCTAAGCTCTTCACAAGATATGCTGTCCTCGGGCTAACACCGAAATATGTCATTGGAAACAGTGGGTCAGACTTTGTTAAGGACAGATTTTATCTTTTCCACAGATCCTATGGCTGGAGTTGTTCAACATTTTAAGAGAAGATTTCACTACTTAAAAATGGTGACTTACCACACAATGGACAAGAATGCTGAAAGGAATCCAAAAGATCAAGGAGAAAACCAGGACGGAGCCCACGATGTTGTCTGCTAAGAACTTCCCTGTGAACAGTTTCAGACAGTGACTGACTGGGCCCACGGACTGCACAGTCTCCAAGGAAATGCTCTGAGCGTCATCGCTGTGACGAACGTCACGCTGCTGCCTACACTCCCCTGACTGTAGAGCCGCGAGTGTCTGTGCACCTGGGAGACCTGCCCCCTCCCCCCGCAGCCTCAGAAACAGCCCTGAGATAGAGAGGTCAGTGCAGCTGATGGATGAAGTCCCAAATCGCTCAATGACATCCTGTACTCGTTCCCGGAGCCACTGGGAACGGAGTCACTGCACAGAGGCTGCTGGGAACAATCCTTATGAAGACAGTGTTGTTGCTCTCTGGGCATTTCTGTGACTAAACTCTAAATTACGAGCCCTAGAGGACATAATACATGCCCTGCTTCTGCAAAATCTGAGGCCGTTTGTAAAATGAATCCCTCAGGTAATTTCAGATTTCCAGTCTGTAGGACTGACCAGGCCGACTCTTGTGCGTGCCTTTTATTTAGCAGAGAAGGAAGCCGATGCTTTGACTAAGCACCGATTCCCTCGTCTGAAAACTGCATCCAACCCACCGGGGGAGGCCAAGGCATCCCATGAGGCCCCAGACGGAATTAACGCAGGGACTGTTCCCTCTGCTGCTGCAGGACCAGAGTCTACACTCTCCACTATCACCGCAGACATCAGCTCGGTTCCAAACAGACAAGCAACTGGGGGTCACCTACCGAAAGTATTGATGCTCAGCTGATCGATGAAGTCCCAAAATCGCTCGATGACATCCTGTACTCGTTTCTCGCATTTGCCCTGTGAACAGAAAAAGAAATGCACTTAGAAGCAATGTGGCTTTCTGCAAACAGCTAACGCACCTGGCTCACTTTCGATATGGGCAATAGTGTGTGATGAGCCCTAAGAAAGGAGGGCGTGCTATCACTGAGGCCTCACCACCAGGCCGTTTCTATACGTGAACTTGCGGTTCCCGAGACAAACTCAGAAACCCAGGGTGTAAAAGATGTGAGTCCCAGGAAGGGTGGCACTGAGCACCCCAGGGACACAGCCAGAGGCCTGGGAAGCCTCTGGACACTAACCCTCCACCATGTTTTACACAAATAAGAGACCAAAGGGTCTGATTTGGGTGGATCAAGCTGCTTCTAGATCTTTCCTACTTACAAATGGTGACTTACCTATATTTTTGCAATCTTAGTCAATTTCGTAATTAACAGAAAACCAAATGATCAGGACCCACTGCCCCACCACCACCCACTTTGCCAAAACTCCCAAGGTCCTGGCCAGTCGCTGGACTCGAAGCCCCCTGCTCTGGAGAGAGCGCCGTTTCCCGAGGGCGCCCGGCTGTGCGCATAGGCGGTGCCCACGCTGACCTCACCGGACGGACTCACACAGGAATGAGCGCTGGGTGAGGAAAGGGCAGCCCTGTTTGTTTCCTTCCATTTGCAAAATTGAGGACAACGTGAAAACATTTCCCACCTGGCTGGACAGAAAAAGCTGTACATAAATGTACTCACATTCATGTCACAGAACCCTACTGTACAGGGCTTCCCTTTCCTCAAAAACAAGTTCTTCTGCTCGGAGTCAACGTAGGGCACGCACCGGCCCTGGGAGTCCCGGCAGCACACCTTGCACGAGTTGTCCGTCTCTGAAACCAAGGGGCACACAGCTGAGTTTTCCTGGACATGTGGCTCTCCTTCCTTCCTTCCCTTCCCGCCCGAACACCTGACTCCACTGTGTGGATGCTGAGTTCCCAACCCAGGGGTTGTGATTTCTGGGCTCTTTGTTTTGAAATCAACAGAATTCTGGGCTGGGGCAGGAAGCTCAGAGCCCAGTCCACCCGAGGTCCCCCCTCAGACCCAGAGGCTCCAAAAATAATGTGAAAACCTGAGGACAAGTGTCTGAGGCCAGCACGATGTTGCCAACCATCACTAAGGAGGCCCCTGGCCTGGCCCACCACCGGTGGCGAGTGTCCTCCTCAATGGGCCAGTCCTGGAATCGGCGCTCTCCGGTGAAGTGTGGAAGGAACACCACAGCTCAATGCCCACGGCACCAGCTCCTGCTGCCTTCATGCGTGTCTTACACCTAGCCCCACCCCCGTCACCCACAGAATCCCCTCCTACTCGCCCACACTGGCCACGTGGTCTGAAAACGTGGCAAGAAGGGAGGCCAACGGGCTGGTTTTCAGACAGCGGAGCCAGGATCTGAATCCAGAGGGCTGTCTCCACATGCCACCTGCCGCCCTGACGGCGCTGGGCTCGCCCCATCCTCAGCAGCAGCGAGTAGCTGACACTGTCAGGGCCCCAAGTGGAGGCCCGGGGCTGGGCAGACACAGGCCGTGGCGGGGACACGTGCTCACCGTTACACGCGCAGGACTCCAGCTGCTGCTCCCTCTCGCAGAAAGGCACACACTTGCCGTCCTTGCACTTGCCCAGGTCCAAGCACACCGTGTCGTCCTCGGCGTTCCCCGGCGGAGGGCACTCACTGCTGTTACCTGGGAGCACCAACAAGCGGAGGCCCCGTGAGTCACGCCTCCAGTCCCACAGGGCGCGCCACACGCACGGCCCCAGCCCTGAGTCCGGTCTGGCCGAGTAAAAGGTGACCCACAGGCCAGGATGACACGGCCGTGTCCAATGGGCAGGTAAGCAGATGAGGTCCCAAATGCCCACACTCTGTCTCCCTGGCCTCACCTCAGCCACTAACACTGGCCATGCAGTCTGCTCTCCCTTTTACTGTGAAAGCTAAGAGACATGTAACATATGCGTACGTGCTATCACCACGAGTAACACCAACACTAGTGCCACCGGCTAGGCTGAAAGCGCACTCCCCGTGGAGAGCTGTGCAAGAAACTGTGTGTGAAGATGAGAAATCACTCTGCAAGCATCAAACTGGCAAAAAGTAAGAGCTTGGCAAGGACGGGGGACAGAGGCGCCACGGGCCCTCAGGGACACTGACACACTGTCCCCGGCTCTGGGACCAGTGCAGGAAGGGCTGTCTGCCGCAGCCCTGCCCCACGTGTCCAGATGGCGGCTATCCCAGCAGCTACTGCTCAACGAGTGAGATCTTCACATGACTAGCGCCCGGCAGGTGCCCCCAACATGAACTCAACGCAGACACAGATAGCACACAGTGCAACAGAATGACTCGTGAGAAACGGTACTGAGTGGAAAGATCTAAGGTAGAACGCCATTTCGGCATGTTAAACACACCGACACAGAGCAGCACCTTATGTTTCAGGGGGACACGCATCCAGGCAAACGTTCATCACAGCAGAAGGGACGCCTACGAGAGGGAGGAGAGCGCCGCGAGGGGAGAAAGGGGAACTGTCTGGAAACAGACGGGTCTGCAGGACCCTGACCGTGTGCCACACACTAAGGAGCACCCTCCACTCCGCATGGGGAATGAAGAGACAGCTGCTTCTATGTAAGTGAAACAAGCCTGTGTCCCAAACACGCACGTCCCCACTTGAGCAGAGTCTTCCAGAACCAGCAGGAGCCGTACCTGTGCAGTAAGACACGCCTTTGCATGTAGCGTTAATGGCCTCTTGGCACTTCTTCTGGGCAGTCTCAAACTGGCAGTTTTTACAGCAAGGACTGTTCCGGTCACTGCAGAGGAGCAGACAGGGACCATTCAAGTCAAAGGACAGTTCAGAGCCAACACTGCAGTCCTGTTACAGACCCTGAGGATCGGTCGCAGGGCAAGGTCTTCGGGCTGGGTCACCCACTCCTGCATAACCCGACTTGCAGGTGCTGGCGCCACCTGCATACACTCTGTCTGCCCGTCCTCATGTGGAATCAGGCAGAGCAACGCAGACAATAGGTCAGGCTGGTCCGGAGTGACTTGTCTTTAAAACATCTTGGGTGTCCTGCCCTAGCCAGTTTGGCTCACTGGATAGAGCATCGCCCTGGGGACTGAAGGGCCCCAGGTTCGATTCCAGCCAAGGACATATACCTTGGTTGCAGGCACATCCCGAGTAGGGGGTGTGCAGGCGGCAGCTGACCGATGTTTCTCTCTCATCGATGCTTCTAACTCTATCCCTCTCCCTTCCTCTCTGTAAAAAATTAATAAAATATATTTTAAAAAATAAAATAAAACATCTTGGGTGTCCTCGGTTTTCATTAGCTTAATATACATAATATATTAATGTAAAAGAGAACACTGGCCTGTAGGCAATCACTGGTCAAGAAACGAAGCAGCCCAAGCCCTCTTCCGAGTATTTGCATGTTAATATGCATGTAGGCAGTCAAGTCTGTGATTGACCATAAACTAAAGCTGTCCCCTCTGCTTCCACGGCAGGCCCTGGCTCTCAGGGACATAAAAATGGCAACAGAGGTGCCTTCTAACTTGTAACCTGTTCCCTCCACATTTGGTTTTGCCATTAAACGGGACAACACTAAACTCTTGTGTATGTGTCCCAGGACTGCTAGTCAATGGTGTCCAGAATTTGCTATTACAGTGGGGCCTTGACTTACGAGTTTAATTCGTTCCAAGACCGAGCTCGTTAAGGAACTCGTTGACTCAAATTACTCTATCAACTCTGCAAAAAATCGGCCGAGAGCCAGCTGGTATTTCAAAAAACTCGTTAGTCGGGACACTCATAAGTCAAGGCCCCACTGTATAGAGAATGCAGCATAAAGAGAATCATTGACCGTCTTCCCTGACACCTGTTTCCTCAGAAACGATTCTTGCTCTGGGGGAGTCTCCATGCGACTGCAAAGTGTGTGAGAGTAGGGATTCCATGACAGACTGGCAGACTGCTTGGAGGAAGCATTTCTCTTGCTGTAATGGGCGAAGGGTAAACACCTGTGTGCACACACATATATACATGCACCCAGCACACACGCCCTCTCGTCGATTCCAAAGCCCCTGTGCTTGCAATCTGCTGGGACCTGGACACCTGCCCCTCCCGGCCCCGGCCCCGCCCCGCCCCCGAGGCGCCCACCTGCACTGCACGCCCTCCTTCAAGGTGCAGTTGCTGTGGCAGCAGGTGTCGCTGTTCAGGTACATGATGCCCGGGTCGCACTCCTCTCCTTCGTCCACGCGCGAGTTCCCGCACACTTTGTTGCTGCGCTCTTGGAAACACTCCTGGGCCTTGCTTTCGATGGTCTTGTAGATGGACTGTTTACTGCAGTTTGAAAACAGCTGAGGAGAAAAAAGGACCCAAAATAACATGAAAATCCATTCCCCTGTGTTTGCACCACCTCTCTGAACTCTGCATGCAAAAGTCCATTGGAGCCTCCTGAAGGCATGTCAAGTTCACGGCTGTCCCTCTATGCGCCTCTGCCTGGGACCGATCCTCGCCCTCCGTGAAATGTTGAGAGGCGGGTGCGGATTTGGCAAAGAGCCTAAAATTCCTCACAGGAAGGCAAGCTGCACGCAGGCTGACCCCAAACATCCAGCCAGTCCGTCAAGAGGACAAGCAGTCGGGCACGAGTGGAGGATCGTGAGCTCCACCAGACCACGCGCCGCGCCTGCTCGGGCCTGGCACCGCCGGGGACAGTGCAAACCGTCACAGACCTCATCTTCCTAGATACCAGGTGCCGGCACGGCAACGGGCTGACCTGGCTCCCCACCCCCTTCCCTGGCTATCTGTATGAATGATCCATGTTTAAAGACTTTCAATAGTTGAGCTTACTGAGAAGCAGTCTTATATTCACTGAGTGGCCAGATTATTATGACCACCTGACGTTTATAGGCAAATTAGCCGTACACTGCTTCGCATGGGATATGGAAGCCGAAGGCCTGTACGAACAACTTTGCTGTCTGCAGTTACCAAGATAAAACGTCTCCAATTCACACAGGAACACAAGGACTGGACAGTCGAGCATTGGAAAAAAGTCATGTGGTCCGATGAATCACATTTCCAGTTGCATCATGCAGATGGCAGAATGAGAATTTGGCAGAAACAGCATGAAAGCATGCACCCCACATGCATGCGTACATCCCTTCAAGCTGGTGGGCATCGTTATTACCTTGCAGAGGGAGGCTCAGACCACTGGCCAGTGGGGCAATCAATGCAGAGCCCTGGCCAGGTGCATGGGGTCTCCTTCTGCTGGGTGATCGATCACATAGCCCTGCAATCAATAGCCCCAAAGAGGGAGGCCCTGGCCACTCAGTTGTCAGT